GTATGAAGTGGAACAAATTGTATATTATTTGCAACATCTGTATAAAAGGGCGATTCGTCTTAAGTATAATGCATATCGAGTGTGTTAACGTGTCGTATACGTGATTTTGATACTTATTAATTGTAATTGACGTAAGTAAGTGCGAAAGCATAGCAAGTGTGTTTAAGTTATGATAATTGGAGTGATTCCATTTTGCTTCTGTAAGCAATCGGCTTCTTTAAGTATTCAATAATATTAAATAAAAAAAAAAAAATCCTTAAAAATACGTAGGTAAATCATATCAGAATATTATATATCTCTTAAAGTGCCTATTGATGCCAAATGCTTCAAAGATTTTAAAATTTGTACTTAGAAATTCATTAAATGTTGACGCTAAATTTCTCACAATTTTTGTTATGGGTATCGATTTTTCTTTTTGACTATACGCCCTTGTAGGCTTTCAGCAGATGGTTATTTAAAATGTTTCCATGATAATTGCAAGTTAACGAAAAGCATTTTTGACATCGTTTAGGACTTCTTCTCCATATCAAGCAAAAAGCGACCCCAATCTTCCCGCAACGAGCAGGTTTCTTTTTGGCGTTATCGCACTCGTCAACAACAATAATAAAAGGCAGTTGGCAAATGCAGCCATAAATTATGAACATGAAAGGCAAGGTGTCTACGTGTATGCGAGTGTGTTTGTTGGGGAGATCCTCGTTCGCCTCCCTTCGGTGTCTCCCTGGGGTCCAATAACGCAAAGAGGCCGCACAAGGCCGTAGGCAATGCAGGGTTAATAGAAAGTATATGTGCCTGTATGCGGGTGTGTGGGCATGTGTAAAAGTTATAAACATTTATGGCAGCTACTTAAAAATGTCAAGCGAAAAAATTATGATAATGATACGTGACATTTGAAAGCAATAACAATTTAGTTAGCACGCACTTTTTGATTACATTCGAAAAACTCGACCAGCTTTTATTTATGAGTTGCCTACATAAAATTGAAAAATTGCCTTTAAAATTCGTGGGTGTGTTTGTTCGTATGAAATACCTACATGAGTGTAATAACAATAATCATAAAGTACACCACCATAGAATGAGGCATTGGTAATAACAATCTAAGCAGCAGAATAGGTAGCCTCGACTCTATAATGCTCTATGATAGAATATTTATTAGAGCATATTAATGTTATAATATATAACAATTGCGTCTTATTTAATAATACGTTTACTCAGTGCTTACTATTAGCTTCTTAGTGCTGCCCATTCGTAGGTAAGTTCGTTAAGTCCGTTAAAATCATAAGCATTCCCTCTCGCTCTCACTAGCTAGCAGCTAGCTTTATCTCTTTCTCGCTCTTGGACTGTGTGCTGGCAGGCATAAGAAATTAAAAGCGCTGCAACTAAAGCGCAAACTCACACGAATAAACCAGCTCTCTCACTAATACTATTGCAACAGTGGGAGGCAATCACGACAAAATTGAACAGAATTCGAAAGCGATTCTCGTTCTGTTTCTATGTATCGGGCCTAAGCATGACAATGAGTGCGAGTGAGAGAAGAGTAGTAGTGTGAGAGTAGATCCATTGGTAGGAAATTCTTAGTGTCACGTTCAAGAGTTTGGATTGTGCTGGAATTATGACAGATGTATCGAAAACAAAAATAGTCAATCAGTTAGTGGCCAACTTATCGAATCAATAATAATAATACAAAAAATGTTTGTATATACATTAAATTAAATAAAAACTTGAGTAAAAAAGAAAATTCTTTAGTTTTGCGTAGGCTATGCATTTTATGAAATTAACAAAGTACTAGGAGCTGGCGAAGCTGTCCTTGAAGTGGTCAGAGGGAAGGCGGGGCGGCAAAGGTGGGTCTGCGACCAGGCAGCCAGCAGCAACTACAATAATAACAACAACAACAACAACAACAACAACAACAACAACAGCAACAAAGCACACATCCTGTATGTCAACTGAATAATTCGTTGCATGCACAAAAGGCATGCACTCACATCCGGTTTCCTGTCATTCTTTTCGCCACAGAGGGTCGACGAGGTACGCAACGGGAAGAGGGGAGTGAGTGAGTGGGAGCGGCGCAGCAAGAGCGAGAGAGCAAATGACCGGCTTGCAATTTATGTCTATGTGTTGGTGGCTGCAGCACGTTCTTGTTGCTGTTGTTGTCTTTATGGCGTGTTTGGTATTTGTTGCAACTTTTGTTTTGAATTCCTGTGGCCTTGTCACACGCTCCAAGCGCTTGCAGTTAAATTTATGTTTTAACAAAAACACACACACACATGCAAATCCCTTAACGAACAATGAATGCATAAAAGTGTTGCACACAACGCGAACCGTCTCTCTCTCTCTCTCTCTCTCTTTCTCTCTCCCTCTCTTACCAGAGCCATACAAATGCATGAAAGAGTAACAGCCAGTGAGTGAGCGAGAGAGTGAGAGAGGGAGAGATGGGAAGAGAGTGAAAAAATCAAGTACAGTGACGGCCAAATGCCAGCACCACGTCTCTTGTAAAGCAGCGTATAATCCACTGATTGCTCCCAAGGTTCAGCTTTCAACAATGAAGGACACTCCAAAGGAGTTGGACGATGCGCAGGAGGTGCCGGGACAATGGGAGTGGCACCAGGCAGGGGCATGGCTATGGCCTGTAGCTGTCGGGTCAACGGATGCTGTTGCTCTTTTGTGTCAGGGCACTGAAGTGGGTATGCACAGCTTGACAATCAAGTTGACAGCGGGAGTATAACAGGAGATACATTGAAATTTCACTTGATGTTTCAGGAATGTTCTGAAATTGTTTCTAGTAGCTAAATGTCTCAGATCATACTTATTCGATGCAGTCAAAATGAGGTCTATAATATTAGTACTCTTGGGGCTTTTTACTAGATCTAGGAATCCGAACATAAATGAAGATAAAGCTAATTTCTTTAAATACATTACATTGATATTTACTGTATTACTATTCCTTTAATATAAATTCAATGATTGATCTGCTGCAGAGGAAAGTATTTGCTTTCTATTTCAATATATTTAGTTCGCTCTGCAAAGCAAAAGTGTAACTCAGCTTCTACTTAGCTCTGGAGGGCTTTCTTTTTTATTTTCGCTGCCCTCTGAATGCTGCTGGAGACTTCGTTTTGATGCAGTCTGCAGTTGTCGCTCGAGAGACCTGCCAGAGTTATGGCATTAATTTTGCATATGAATACGGAATATGGACAACTGGATATGCTGTAGCTGTTAGAGCTATGCATGAGAATGTTGTGGCTGTTGGAGTAGTCTCGACAAACGCGCCCTGTTGGGTCAGGTCATGCCTCTTTTACACCTTTCTACGCTTGTCGCTCTGCCAAGCAAAAGTCCGAGAATCGTCGCATTAGGGCCTCAATTTTCACATTAATTTCGCTTGCAGCTCCGGACATGCTCAATTGGCCAACACTGTCGGCTCATTAGCAACACGAGCCTGCTACGGAAAGCAGCCCCGCAATTCGAGCAGCCCCAAACGCATGCAGATGCAGAGAGGACATAAGAGCAATAAACTGTTAGCTATGCAACTGCATTGCCTTCTCGAACGACGGCCAAAAAGAGGAGTCAAACTGTCGTTTGGCTTTGATTCGCCTATTGAATTGCCTGAACTATATACAGAAGTTTTTAGAGATTGTTTGCTCGATTCTTTCCCACTATAATTGGCAATAGGAGGAAAGTAATTTTGTATTTGGTTATTTCTCTGTTATAATTACCATTGTCTAGCTATTTTATCATTCATTAGTTATTACGCGTATCATGACTATTACCATAATCTTCATCATTATCATTGTGATTATTAGAAAACATATTGATTATTATTTGTGATTGGTATTGCTCAATTTTTGTCTACTTCATATTATTATATATCATATCAAATATATAGAATCTTTTTATTATCAGCAACATAATTAATATCATCGAAATTAAAAATTATATATTGAATTAATTATATTTAATTCATAAAATACTTCTTCATCATTATCGAATCTTGAATAATGTCAATCGTTATATCCTTATGATTAGCATTATAATTCATAATTGTCATCATTAGCCTTTTCACAGTTATCATCATTATTATTAGATCAATGCAAACACAGTTAATATTTGCCAATTCATCGAATCGATTTAGAAATTCAATTGAAAAGCAAGGCAAAAGCAAAATGTTTGCATTTTCGTAGAATAAAATGTGCAGCGCAAAAGTATGCAGTACTTGGGAAATAAGCCGTAAAACGCCCGTAAATCGGCTCAATAAATTTTCAAATCTTTTGCCATTTGCATTTTGTCATATCGCTCGGGCTTCATTAGGCAACTCCCAAGTAAATCAACATAGCTGCCAGACAAGCACAAAATGTTCAAATGATATACAACGAGTTACCTGAACTGTATATGTGTGGAAGTGTGTGTGTGTGTGTATGTACGTGTGTGTTAAAGTTGCCAACGCAGCAGCAGCTCATTGTCGACTGCTGTTGTTGCTGTTGCTGCTGCATTTAAGTAAAATGAATTGCCTGCAATTTATTTTTGTTGCTTATCATATAAATTGCACTCGCCTGCAAGTCATTATTTGGCACATTTGCGCTCAATGGCTGCACATTGCCTGCCCGCCCACAGCCGAAATTTGTGGCAAGTGGGCGTGTCAGTGTGTACGTGTGTGGGTGTGTGGGTGTGTGTGTGTGTGTGTGCGCGTGACGAACCGGAAGCCCAGAGATATGCCGGCAAGAACAATAGCAACAACAATTTGGCCAACTGGAGATGCTGCCAGGTGGCCTTTGCACTTGGCTGCGTTTTTAAGCCAAGGCAACGGCGATGCAAGCCAGCCAGTGCCAAAGGGCAAAGGTTGCAAAATAGCCATTGGGGATATGCCCGTAACTGGCACTTAAGCAGTTGCTGCTCTTTTATTTACCACTTGCAACTGCCGCACAAATAAATTTCCGGTTTCCCTTGCCTTTCAGAGCACCAAACACAGCAAAAATAATAAATGATAACGGTTTGCTTTTTTTTTTTTTATTGTTATTTATTTATCTCTTTCTGATATACGTTAAGATGGAAAGCTGTCTTCAATTATAGAAAATTCTCGAATTGTTTAGTTGCGTATATAAAAATTTATAAATAATATATAATTATTTCTAGTTTTATAAAAACGAAAATAAACAGCTGATAAGAAATATAGAAAGCTCAATAAATACGAATTTGAATTTATTGTTCCATCAAACAGCTCGTCAAGCTGCATAGCAAAAATTGAGAGCGCGAGTTAGTTACAAAAGGGTTTCTCCTAGGGGCACGAACCACATATGTCGTATCTAATTAATATTAGACTTCGCTTCACTGTCAATAAAAATGAAACTGAATTGTTGCTATATTCTTAGGGGAATACTCCACAGCTACCACATTCACATTCCACATAGACTTTTTTTCAGTTAGCCAATGGAATTCAAATGATAGCAAACGGTAACAGGAATCGTGCAGGAAATATATATTACAAATGCAATTGCAATTAACATGTCGGATTATTGGGTCAGATAAGAATGACATTTACAAATTGCGCAGTACAGACACACATAAAAAAAATGTATAAAATAAAATTATTAAATAGAAAAAAAAAATAAATAAATAAATAAACACAAATAATAAATTAATATAAGAAATAAAATTGGGGTCTGCGACCGTGAAATCTGAGAGAGACCAGAGCAGAGATTTCATACAATACGACATACTTGACCCACTAAAGTACATCCTATCAGAATATTTTATTTACCTTGCCCAACAAATCGCTTTTTGAACGTCAAGCGATCGGCTATTGAAGCATCTATAATACTCTATTGAGCTCATAAGTAAATCGAAATATTTGTATTCATTTGTATGTGCTGCGCACTCGCAGTTGATTTTGTATTATTAGGACACACTTTTGGAATGTTTAATCTCAACAAATGTTGTAAAGTTCAGTTGAGCTTTACAAATAGTACACATTCTTTTTGTATAATGTATTTTGTGTTGTGATTCAAGCTTATTATCTAAATATTTGTTAGTTGACAAGATTGAGCTGAGCATTGGGTGAAAATAACTTGCAGAGCATCCGAGAAGCTTGCAGCATCAGTGAGAATGAATTTCAAGTACTGTGTAAGTATATGAGAACATACATACATATTTATATAAGCTCATGCGTTTGTGCTCTCACCATCTTATTCGTTTTCTTAAGTTCTATCACTCACTCTCTCTCTCTTCTTCTATCGCAGTTGCTGCTGTTATCACTGCTGCTAGTCGGCGCTAGCGCTAAACCGCGTGCAGATCCGCCTTGCTGGACGTGGCCCGACGAGCCACTACCTCCCTGCGCCCAAGGATAAAGCTGATGTGGGAAAATATACTGTAATCGACTGCTCGCTACTCCCCACCAAGAGCCAAAATGTGTTGGGAGTCGTTTACTTTCTTGTAATCATCTCGTACCATTTGCAAAAACAATTAAACTTCCATAAAGTATACAAATAAGTTTCTTTCTGGTAATCCTTTAATGCTCATGTGGCTGCGAACCTTTCAGTAATTAGTACGGTTTTTTATTTCCATCGCAAAACACACATAAAGAGCGCGAGGTTTCATTGCCTGCGGATTGAAATAAACTATTGAGTTTAGAGTTGCGTTTAGGGTCAGCAGATGCCAACAAAGTGCTCAAGAGCAAACACATGCACATACTCGTAATATGAGTCTCGTTTGTGCAGTTAGAATTCAAATAAAACGAATTTACCCAGCGGAACGCACACTCTTTCTCTTTCTTCCTCTCCTGTCTTATTCACTGTTGCTTCCACTGACCACTGTACCTGCACTCCTTTACATTGTTGCCAAAGAAACCAAAAATAATTTAAGGCAGCATAGTAAATGGGAAGACAAAGCAAAACAAAAATCGAGAGCGCAACAATAACAACACGTTACACTCTCTGTGCGAGTGCGAGCAGCGCAAATATGAACGCAGCCGAATATCGCTTAAGACACACACACACACAAATGAAATGCGAGTGTGATAGAGTGAGATGTACATAGATATGTGCAAATGTAAATGCCAGGGCGATCGAGTGAGATATATATACATATGCACAAATAAGTGTACATGCAAGCAAAGCCGCCAGTCAGCAATGAAACTAGCTTCGGCTGCTCAACGAACGAACAACAGGCAGATTTTTATTAAAACAGAACTGAATGTTTTTTATTAATACCGTTTATTGAGCATTGAAGATTGTCCACAATGTAGGCGAAGCCACGCGGCAATTAAAAGCGGCGATGATGTGCATGATGTTTCTGATTATGATGTGAGTTGTGGTGATATGGACTGTGATGTGGGTTGTGATGGTAGTTTTGTTGCGGTTTGTGGTATCCACCTCGATTGCCTCCACCACCACGGCGTCCACCATATTGCGGCGCTGCCAGTGAAGTGGCGAAAACAGCAAGTAACGAAAATAATATTATCTATATTCAAATATAATTGAAATATAACTTTTGTTAGCAATATAATCTATATACTACACGAAAATATTATACTGACCAACAGTTTCATGACGGCGACTCTGCCAACAATGAACTCTAGAGCGCACTGTCTGCGTCTTTTAAGTCAAAAATCTCAACTGCCGAACCCACTGTAGTCATTTACATACTACATAACTTATACCTGAGCAACTGAACTGTAACCCAAAGGAAAACGCACTTATCTATATTTATGCGGGTCGACTTATCTACACTGAACATATGCCCTCATATATGCTGGAATGCCCTTATGCGTATTTTGACCTGTGTTTCCATTTCGGCTTTTTGGAAAATTGAAGATTGCACACCATAAAAGTGGATTAGCTTGGCCCTTTCCCATTCTTCAATATTTAAATGCCATGCGTGTCACATATGTTAATCTAAGTTGGCATTGACACATTCCAGGATCAGCTATGCAGAGATAGTGTTGTCTAGGAGTCCACCCGTAATTAACGAGCAGACTAACATATTGCATATCAGTGAAGCTGTTGAGAACGCTAAGAGAGATGTAACATCTGGCTACCCAGTATGAGTATGATTCCCTACAACAAGTTAGACATATTCCGATGTTTGTAAATTTTAGTCAATAAGGTTTATTAACTTTGTTGATCTTAATAGCCAGGGCGTCCATGTTGTCCGCCTTGTTGACCGCGTCCGCCTTGGCCGAATACTTGTTGACCACGATCACCTGGTCCGAATCCTTGTTGACCGCGACCACCTTGGCCAAATCCTTGTTGACCGTGTCCGCCTTGGCCGAATCCTTGTTGACCGTGTCCGCCTTGGCCGAATCCTTGTTTACCGCGATCACCTGGTCCAAATCCTTGTTGACCGCGACCACCTTGGCCGAAGCCTTGTTGACCGCGATCACCTGGTCCGAATCCCTGTTGACCGCGACCACCTTGGCCGAATCCCTGTTGACCACCACGCTGGGGTACGGCCAGAACAGCCACGATCAGTGCTAAGAATATGATCTTCCAAAGGAAATAATAAAATTCATAAGTTTTTGAACACAGTCCAAGAATCTTTATGAGAACTTACGAATAACTTCATTTTGAAAATTTGTTGAATTTGATGCAGCGCTTCCAAAAAAGTTCTACTTGGAATGCATCAAGCGAAGGGGCTTTTATACCCGGCAATCGGGAGAGATTGGCATCAAAACATTTGCGGAACAAAAACAAAGAACGGAAAAAACAAATTTATTTCTATATATACTATATATTTAATGTACATTTAATGTACATTGCTTTTTTTTTTTACTAATATGTACACACATACAGTCTGGAGCTTATCACGAGCGTCTCTTAAAACTAAGCGACGAAAACAACCAAATTGATTAGATGAATCAGCAAATATAAGAAAAAGCCCCCCAATTCGAACTGAACTTGACATAATATACAAAACTTTTCTACTCAAAGTGTAAGTGATATGATATGCAAAGTAGCTGTTAATTAATCAATTAATATGCAAGACTATAAATTCGGTTAGACTGACATGAGATGGTGCAAAGCCATAATACCTTACATGCCCACTCTAATATGTTTAGGGTATAGAGCACTGATAAGCATGCATATAAAATTCAGGCAAGGTCGAAGAAACCGAAAACAGTAATAAATTAGAAAACTAATGTAAATAAAAAGCATAATCAATATAATAAATATAATAAACAAGGAATCCGTATTTATGCCCCGCATTATATAAAAGCAAAAAGTAGATCAATACACAGATAAATGCATCGAGGAGAACTTCTTAAACTTTTACATTTGCAAGTTGTATCATATTTGTATTATAAATGTAATTATTTCTTTATATAACATATTCTATATAAATGATACGATCGAGACGCAATAATTTGTTCCCTTCTAAATAAAAAATCGCGTTAAATTGAGAAATATTCTATTCCGTCGAAAAAATGCATTCTCGACAATTAATTTTTAATTTCTGTATAAATCGAAAAAACACATTATTATTGGGGCTCGACTGTACTTGATGCTATATCAATGTGGCTTCTTTATTTAATATTTTAATTACATCATTTTATATAGTTTTACATATTTTATTTATATATATTTCAATGTGAATTCGTTTTCGAAGTCATTCTTATTGCCATAATTAAAATTTTTTAATTCCTTCCAGTATGTATAAAGATATACAATTATAGACTTATAATTTTTAATTAAAATTTTATTTTATTTAATTTTTTTATTTTTTAATT